GAAACTACACAGGTAGAGTGTCAGCAATATTGTAATCCCTCAAGTCTTGTAACAGTGCTAACAACGGAAACTACACAGGTAGAGTGTTAGCAAGATAAGTATTCATCAAGTCTTGTAACAGTGCTAACAACGGAAACTACACTGGTAGAGTGTCAGCAAGATTGTAATCCCACAAGTCTTGTAACAGTGCTAACAACGGAAACTACACAGGTGGAAACTACACAGGTAGAGAGTAAGCAAGATAAGTATTCATCATGTCTTGCTGACACTCTGCCTGTGTAGTTTCTGTTGCTAGCACTGTTACAAGACTTGATGGATTATAATATTGCTGACACTGTACCTGTGTAGTTTCCATTGTTAGCACTGTTACGAGACATGATGAATACTTATCTTGCTTACTCTCTACCTGTGTAGTTTCCGTTGTCAGCACTGTTACAAGACGTGAGGGATTACAATATTGTTGACACTCTACCTGTGTAGATTCCGTTGTTAGCACATTGTCTTTTTTCCCCAACATTATATATAATGTTGGGGAAAAAAGACAATGTGCTAACAACGGAAACTACACAGGTAGAGTGTCCGCAATATTGTAATCCCGCAAGTCTTGTAACAGAGCTAACAACGGAAACTACACAGGTAGAGTGGCAGCAAGATTATAATCCCACAAGTGTTGTAACAGTGCTAACAACAGAAACTACACAGGTAGAGTGTCAGCAAGATAAGTATTCATCATGTCTTGTAACAGTGCTAACAACGGAAACTACACTGGTAGAGTATCAGCAAGATTGTAATCCATCAAGTCTTGTAGGGACGTATTTTATTGTTGAAGTTAAGGTAAGGGGCGTATTTTATTGTTGAAGTTAAGGTTAGGGGCCGCATTTTATTGTTGAAGTTTAGGTTAGGGGGCCGCAGTTAATTGTTGAAGTTAAGGTTAGGGGGCCGCATTTTATTGATGAAGTTAAGGCTAGGGGGCCGCATTTTATTGTTGAAGTTAAGGTTAGGGGCGTATTTTATTGTTGAAGTTAAGGTTAGGGGCCGCATTTTATTGTTGAAGTTAAGGTTAGAGGCCGCATTTTATTGACGAAGTTAAGGTTAGGGGGCCGCATTTTATTGTTGAAGTTAAGGTTAGAGGCCGCATTTTATTGACGAAGTTAAGGTTAGGGGGCCGCATTTTATTGTTGAAGTTAAGGTTAGGGGGCGCATTTTATTGTTGAAGTTAAGGTAAGGGGCGTATTTTATTGTTGAAGTTAAGGTTAGGGGCCGCATTTTATTGTTGAAGTTTAGGTTAGGGGGCCGCAGTTAATTGTTGAAGTTAAGGTTAGGGGGCCGCATTTTATTGTTGAAGTTAAGGTTAGAGGCCGCATTTTATTGACGAAGTTAAGGTTAGGGGGCCGCATTTTATTGTTTTAGTTAAGGTTAGGGGGCGCATTTTATTGTTGAAGTTAAGGTTAGGGGCGTATTTTATTGTTGAAGTTAAGGTTAGGGGCCGCATTTTATTGTTGAAGTTAAGGTTAGGGGGCCGCATTTATTGTTGGAGTTAAGGTTAGGGGGCGTATTTTATTGTTGAAGTTAAGGTTAGGGGGCCGTATTTTATTGTTGAAGTTAAGGCTAGGGACCGCATTTTATTGTTGAAGTTGAATTTGATTGGAAAATATCAACAGAATATCGGTATTCCGACAGCATTTATCACACGGAGTTGTACCAGTAGATTTTAACATGTTTTATTGAAAATACGTCGGTAATATAACTTGAACAACTTTCAAGTACAACAAATATTAAAGAATTAAGTATGTTAAGCAAATACATATATATATACCCTATTATATTAATTAGTGGAGATATGTTTGATTTTGAACATTACTGATCAATTCGTACACTATAACCAATGTTGTAACCTAAGCTGTATGATATATGTACCTATATATATGTACCTATACATCTGAATGTTGGCCATGTCATTAGTCTGACGTGGATTGTAAGAAGGTGAAGGACTGGATATTGCTCACCAAAAGTCACACAGCATTGAAGGGAGACAACTCGGGTGACGAACACTATTTCCTGGATATAGATATGGCTGTATTAGGAAGACCAGTGGCAGGTAGGACATTATATATAATGTTGGGGAAAAAAGACAATTCACTTGGACAGAAAGGTGACCGTTGTATGCTAGTAAAATTAAGACATTCGGTAATGATAGCGCCAATGGTAATACTAGGTTTTGTCAGAGGAGAAAATAAAGTTCCATTGCATGTGGCAATGATCGCATTTATTATATGGTTAGTCTCATTAGCTAACCACTGTAATCAAAGGGATTTAACTCAAGAAATTATTTGAAATTAATCCCGAAAAAATCACAAAATTGGGTTATGGATTCTTCTCTTTTTAACAAGAATATATATTTTCATTTTAGACTATGACGAATACGCAAACCAAATACGGGCAGAGTATATCCATGTTCCAGAAGAAATTTACAGATCAAAGCGAGCACAGGCAATTAATTTAATTGTTCAAAATCATTAAATAATTTCGTTTTTTTAACGTTTGCTGCGACACTGTAATATATGCATTTGTTGTTCAATAGATAGATATTAATTCATTTTTGTAGAATTTATTTTTTTGTTGTACAATGCATCTGTATGTATTTTATCGTTGAACAATGTATATGTATTCACTCAATAAATCACGATTTACAAATGCATACTAGAATAACAATAAACGATTTTGATCTGATTAAATATTTTAAGTAGTTAATATAAATTCAAACTATTCTTTATTCTTATGTAACATCAACCAAATACACGAACCATCCTAACTTCAGATTCTGGAAGACTTCTTGACAAGATTACCTCTATTCAGCACCAAGCTATTCCAGAAACAATTTGAAGATCGGGCGAAGACGAATCTGATACGGGAGATCGGAAGGCTTCGGGACAACTCCATTCCATTGTGAACTAAGACCAATATAATTAACAAAGAACATACTTCATAACAAAATAATAACTTTATTAACTTCACAATCGTTTGGCATGAATGAGTATGATATTGTACATCAAGCATGGACGGTGATCTTGTGGAAACATTTATACATAATAAGTTAATCTTTTTACTTGTACAGGTATATGATACATCTCTTGTGTGTTGTACAGTTGTACAATACATACTTGTATAATCAGTATTTATACAGTGTTTGTTTCCTCACATTCATTTTTCAAACATGGAGATAAGTGTATAAACATATATGGCATCGTCAGTTCCTACCTTTACTATCTTCAATTAAATATATTTTGTTAGATATTAGTTGTACATATTTACTTATTTCAAATAACTTTTATCAAATATAAGTGATTTTAGAGCTAACTTACAAAGTAAACACAGTTCGAGGTTTTGTGTTATTAATTTGAACCAATTTTAGTAATATATTAAACACCATATAAATTATTTTAAAACAATGTGTTTCTCTCCATTAAATCCTAGCTTTTTAAACTAGATGAATACAACAGGTAGGTGTCATTTCATTGGAGACGATTTCATCCCGATAAAGTGTTGATAGTCCTCATTGAAGCAAGAAAAATAGACGAAGAGCTGATATCATGGCTGTATGCTGGGACTAGATTTTCGCAATTCTAGTTGGATCTATTCCGTCTTTGCGTATTGCAGAGTTATCTTCTCTTGATTGTTACGGCATTGGTTTGTGTGAGAAAATGACGTCGTTTTCTCAAAAATTGATGACGTTACTCTCACAAACAAATGACGTAATAATCAATACCTGCTCACAAGAGCAGATAACTCTGCAATACGAAAAGACGGAATACATTTGATAACAATTATATTTTCCGCTTTATCTCGGGCAATTACTATCTCCAAATATATGAGCGTATTTAAGACGCACGATTAAGTCTGGTATGTCTGATTTTTGAGAGAACTACAAGACAACCACTACGAATTACACAAAGGTCACTCAAAGTAGACGGCGTACACAGTGCCCACGGCAAAGATATGTTTGTTGTGGAAGGACGCGGCGGCGTAGTTGTCACGGTCGTGGTCCCACAGATACCGACTTCCGATCCGAACACCCTGGTCATTCTTCTGACCGATCGTCACCATACACACCGTCTTGTACCTGTAAACAGTAGTCAGGAATGAAAAAAGGATAATACCTTAAATTTATTGCATCAACCTACTTTGACCAGTCACATGAACAACACTATAGTTTCTGTTTTTACACTATCTAACCCCAAAGGCTAAGTCTGTAAATAAAGAAATCTGCCCGTGTCACTTGTTTTAAATAAACCATGGACATATATAAAACTGTCAGTTATCCTATGTTTTGAATATATGTCCCTTATTCAGGGACAGTATATAGAGGGGATTGGCAACTCTGCCCCAGTCAAGATTCTATAGCACGTCGCTTTTGTGTTTGTTCACCGAACCGCGAAGTCATCGAGAGCCCCTCTCGATCAGCCCGCACTTGCGCACTAGCGTTAAAATCATGTCACCTATCTCGCCGAGATGGGAGTGTTTTGATAACGGTTAGCCCTGATCAGGGACAGTATATAGACACTATACGTCCCTGCCCTGATTGGGTAGCACGTCGCTTTTGTGTTTGTTTTATTCCAGGGATAGGGCTATCGTTGCCACTATGTCTAGACTTTCGGCTGTGTTGGTGGCTATTACAACAAATCTCATTTCGTAAAGCACGTTCCAGTGAAAATAATGCTAATATTGACACTTTTTGACACAAAAACAGCACAAGTTATTTGTTATTTTTTTGCCATAAAAATTAGTACTACATATCAAAAAATTATTCAACTTTCTATCGCTGTAAATTTCAAAATGAAGTATTTTTGAAATGAGCTGATCCCCGAATGCAGGCGATACTTCTTGTTGGGTTTAACATTTCCGGTTGTTTACGTTTTTTAACAACACGTGTCCTTCGTTACCAGACGAGTAATTTCATCTGTGACATCGCTATCGTTCCAAATAATGCAAATCAAATCAGGCCTACTTAACATAGAAATTAGTCGGCTGTTTATTTATATTAATTGTTTAAAAAATAAATAAACGATAGTTTATAAAATTAATCAAAACAGTGAGCAGTCACCAACTACTTTCGCAATAATGATTTAAGTTCCAGTGAAAAATAATGCTGATATTTACTCTTTTTGACACAAAAATTACACAACTTAAATTATATTATTTGCAATTGAAATGGGTTGGGTCGTTATAAAAATTATTCAGCTTTCTATTGCTGCTAATTTTCAAAAGATCAGTCAAATATTTTTGGAGTGAGGTGGTTCACAAATATGTGGGGTTTTTTATCCCGCATTTTTGTTTACGGTTTTTAACAACACTTGTCCTTCGTTACCAGACGAGTAATTTCATCTGTGACATCGCTATCGTTCCAAATAATGCAAATCAAATCAGGCCTACTTAACATAGAAATTAGTCGGCTGTTTATTTATATTAATTGTTTAAAAAATAAATAAACGATAGTTTATAAAATTAATCAAAACAGTCAGCAGTCACCAACTACTTTCGCAATAATGATTTACGTTCCAGTGAAAAATAATGCTGATATTTTCTCTTTTTGACACAAAAATAACACAAGTTAAATTATATTATTTGCATTTAAAATAGGTTGGAAATACTTTTGGAGACAGGTGGTTCACATACATGTGGTTTTTTTTTGTCCCGCATTTTTGTCTATCGACGCCCACCACAATACTCTGAACCACGCGTTACATCGCGTTTAAAAATAGAAAAATATACCCCAAAAACGAGACATCAATTAATATGATACCACAGATTTTATCAATTATAAGTAATACAATCAGCTTATAACAATGGGATAAACAAAAGACGTATGAACACTTATCGCGATTGGTTTGTTTGCACGCCAACTTCTGTAATCTAACGAAGCGGTATCGACGCCATCTTAGTTTGTCAAAATTGAGATAGGTGGCGCTCTCTATCTGCTCCTGAATCAGGGGGAGGTAAGTCTAGATTGACGTGTCATAAAATCGGTAAAGCAAAGAGGGAGTTGCTAATCCCCTTCACTATACGTCCCTGCCTTATTTGAGTAAAATAATTTTACTCGTTATTCGCATGGCGATCGGACGCATATGGTAACTTAATTAACATTCTGTTGTCAATTTGAAGAAAAGGCAGGGTTTTTTGTCTGTTTGTTTAGATAGAGATTCATGCTTATACAATCATGATCAGAATACCATATGAATATCACAAACCTATTTGACTCCTCCCCACCTCTTACGGGTACCAAGGGAAGATCACGCAAGCATATTTTATGAGGGGGTCTGATAGATTTTCCGATCCATCTTAGTTTTTGACATGCACCACCATGAATAAAGGGGATCATTCATTTTAAGTTTCACCATGATTCCTTTTATATTTCAAAAAATGGGGTCAACAACCTTTACAAACATAAAAACATCGAAGAACGCCTTGTGACGGTTTGCTTTTTTGATCCACCCGAATTCGAGGCAAGTTCAACTGACGACCACAATGTAAACCATGAGGAATAGAAGTAATAGATTTGATGTGCAATATCAAAGATAAATGACTGGCGGTCAGTTTGTTTTCGACTTAATCTCATCAAATAGGAACAATCATGTAAAGTTTCAGTTTCATCATGATCTCCGTAGTACTTTCCAAAAGATAGAGGTAAAAATCAAAGATAGCCTCGTGGCTATTTTGATCACTGATCCCCTAACCCGGTACACCCGTTCGAAACAGTCCCAGCTTCTAATAGATACAAGAGGATCATGCATACCATGTTTCGCCATTCAAATCTCCTGAGATATAGCAGTAATGAAAATGGAATGCAAAATCAAACATGGTCATGCATATTATGTTTCACAATGATACTTTTAAACCACGCTTTATCGCTTGTTCTGTCAGTTACTCAACCAAGTCATTTTCATGAGGACAAAACGACTACAACGACCTGCATTTAGTCAACGTTGAGGGTGAAGATTGTCCGACTGGGGAGACGGATAGTTTTTACTCTAAAACGTCCAATTAAGATCGACACGTGGACTTATCATGCAGTGTGTCTAATAGGTAAAATTGCATGGTTGTAATAGAAACGAAAAGTGAACCATTGGGAGCAAACAAGGTAAGATGGACAGATGCTGTTAAATTTAAGTATAAGCTTGTGCTTTTCTTGTAGAGAAGTTGGACAACTCTGGGAAGGGAAAGCATTACTTTTGGACAGTTGTCCAGCAATGACAGCTGTCAATAAAGACACCCCAGGGTAGAATTTATTATAAGCTATAATAAGCTGAAGATAGATGATCGTTACAAATCACGTACAAATAATCCCAGTGAACAATATAAGCAGACATAATATAGCATCTTAGAAGGAGGATGTAATCTCAGCACATAATGTAACCATTGCACTAACAATCAGCGACTTCATGGTAAAAGTAGGAACCGATAGCACAGAAAATAAAGTTATGGTTAGAGAAGGACTAAGTGTATGTGCATACCAGTCTCGCTGAAAACGGACCAATAGCAAGATAGATCACATTCCCATCTGAAAGAAGGGGGAACATCGGTGGTGATCAACATTATAAGTGTCGTCGACCGATGAAAGTTTCCATTACGAAGTAGGTGATCCTTCTAGCTAAAGGTTCCACAAGAGGAGTAGGGACAGGAGCAGCTCTAGGAGTTTTGCAAGACAAAGTACATGAGGAGTAAATAAGTGTTTGTTAGAATCTCTCAGACACGGACATCACAGACATATATTCTAAACAGTTGGTTACGCTGGATTCCAACTCGAGTTTCGTGGATTGGTTATAACAATAGTCAGTAAAGCATATGCTAAGTAGGTCATTCTGGATACATAAGGCCATTGATAACCTTTTGACAAAGGGTTTGCGACTTTGTCGTATACGGACAAAAACAGGGGATGTCATGGTGTAAGATCACTGTTTTGGCGATTGCTCGTAAACGGTTCTTCACATATCATGCCAGAATTACCATGCTTGGCCTAGGTCTGACCGGTCATTACGCGGAGAAACAGCAGTGAGAGTAGCGAGAATTCTGGGTTGCAATACACCATGCCGACTAACCCTCCCAGTCCGGTACATATCTGTAGGCACACTGTCAGTGCCGAAACTACGCCTCCAGGAGGGAAAGACATCATAACAACTGTGTCATAATGCCAGCGTATTAAGATAGCTGTTATATTTCTTTAACATAGCATAGATATATGGATTCTTGAGAAATCTTCAAAAAAAGACAGATATAGTTCCCCAAATGAACACCGGCTACTTTACAGAGTGATTAGATAACTTATTATGAAAAATAATAAAATATACGGTAAGAGCAGCAAAAAAGTGCATGAACATGTAAAGAATATTATATAATTGTGTGATGACGTTAACTTCAGAAATCATACTTGCCTTTTGAAATTGAGTTCTTTTACTTTGTGCTTAATCTCGTCGGCAAGAGATTTTGACATGATGGAACATTCTATCGGATCGTACTTCCGGCCTGGAGAAGAAACAAATGCATGCATATGAAACGCTTCATGTAGCACAACCTAGCATATGCTGCCTACTATTTACATACACAAACTTAGATTCATATGATATACTTCTAAAGTCTTCATCAACAACCAATATGTACCAACTGATTAGAATAAACTCTATACTGTTTCTGTGCTGGTCCCGAGAAGGACATCCGTGATGCTCAGAGCCAATGATTTAAAATCGCCTACAATACAAGTGTATGTACTTCAACTTAATTGAGCAATATTTAAAATTTACAGTATTGAAAATGTTGTGTTTTCTTGATGTCAGCACACCTGGCCAAGTGTAAATTTCATGATGAATGATTATCATGAAGTTTGGCCTGTGGCTTGTTAGGGCGAAAGGGGCTTTCAAGTTTGTTCAAATAAATACACTGCGAAACTTTTTAAATCCCATGAGTAAAATAAGTTAAAATCTTCCAACATATGAGTATTCATAGCTAGCCTTTGCTGTCCAGTTTGTTTCAATTTATTTAAATTTGACCCACTTTAAAGTCAATATATGTGAGCAGCAATAAAACAGGTCAGCGATACATGTCAATCGGGCCTCTTGATAGATGACAATATACCTTCTAGATTTGTGTTGAGGATGTCTTCGATGATAGGAGTAATTTTATCAGCCCTGAACTTTGAGGGAGGATCTAGCTGGTACGTATTCTCGTAAAATACCTGAAAGAAAAAAAAATGAATTAAACGACATTCCAAAATGTGTTATAACGCAAGTGATACTGGCGAATGTTATTATTATTCAAACCCCTTTGAAATCATGGTGTTTATCAAAGAATGGGGTTTACGTGTATATATATATAAGAACTTGTCCTGCTGTGGAGTTTCGAATTAACACCACCATTTGCTATCGAGACCTCTTCGGTTTGTTTTTCTTTGGTTTATTGGGATTCTCGTCCTATTTAAAGCTGAATTCATGTGAGGACTGCCTCCATCTGTGTGTGCCCGTGCCGATTAGTTATCACTGACGAGGAAAGGAAAGTTAACGATTATGAAAAGTCGTCCCGAGTTCTACTAAGGTTGCCTGTGATAGTGCTACTCCAGTATAGTGCTACTCCAGTCAAGTGAAGCTGAAGTAGAGGAGTCTGTGACATAGCAATTTTTTATTTATTTTTTTATTTCTGCTCCAGAATTTAAAAAAAATCGTTTGTATGGTGAGTATATTTGTCCCTAAAGGAACACCGAAAGTCTGTTCCCCAAACAATTGATCGAGTAGACAATTGGATCATCCGGATATTTTTATCTAACTATCGGTGTGATGTTTTAACATAAAAGTCTCTTTTCCATTTGAAGAAAAAATGCATCTTAGTGGCAGTTTTGCCAACTTTTTGCGACGTGATTTGAGTCTAGTATTTAGACGAGAAATTCTAGTATACTAGGTGAAGTTGTCAAAAGTTTAAACAAGACTTATTAAAGAAAACGATGAAGCTACGTGGATTAATAGAATCTTCCCCTATCTTGAGGGTGTGATAGAGATATATCCAACCTGAGTGGTTTAAGTTTAAGTTTTATTTATTCACTCCGACACACTTACGTGTGTAACAAGAGGTCACATACATATAGTAAGTATGATACATGGCGTGTGATGTACACAATTACAACATTGTACATAGCATAGATACATATAGAAGTACACAAATAGTACAGAAATTAAGTTAATATTTTTTCAAGCTTTTCTATGAATTTACAAAGTTTTGTGTAAATTTTTACATTAAATATATTAAACAATCCTTGCATTTTTAATTGACTTGGATAAGTGAAATAATATTTTGGTATATATTTCTCTCTTAGACATTTAACTAAAACACTTTCACATATAAATAAGTAATGAAATTCATCTCCAATGTACAAATTACATAATGTACAGGTTCTTTCTTGACGAGGAATACCTAACCATCTTCCTTTTTCTATGGGTAAATGCATATTGCAAGAACGGAATTTACACATTATTTTCCTATCATTTGTATTAAGTTTAATTAAATATTTTTCTTGTTCAAACTTTGTCTTTAATATTGAATATGTTTGTCCTCTAGAGGAGTTAAGAATATTATCAAACCATTTCTGTATAAATTGATCCTTCAGTCTACTTTTCACAAGCCTCTTAATTTCGTCTTTTGAAAAAGAACATGTAGATTGATAGTACCACACATAGTTCAGGCCAGTTTGAGAAAAAATATCTTTAACATATGCGAGCCATTTAAATAACATAGTTCCATTTTCATGTAATGTATACATAAGCTTATAAATAGTACTTGATAACTTACTAGAGGTAATCAACTTATGCCAGAATACTATTATTCTACATTTAATTTCGATGTCTAGTGGGTATCTTCCAAGCTCACCATAAACAATGAAATTTGGTGTACTTTTTCTTACATTTAGTATATATTTACAAAATTGAAGATGGATTTTTTCTATAATATTTGTGTTTTCAAAACCCCATATTTCTGATGAATACAGAAGAACTGGCATAATTAATGAATCAAATATCTTCAATTGTAGATCAACTGGTAAAGATATGTTTCTCAATTTCTTATAGACAGCAAACACTGATTTCTGTGCTTGTTCAACAATTTTTTTCCTTGCTTTAAAGAAGCTACAACTAAAATTAAAGAATAATCCTAGATAGGTATACCCTTCCAGTATTTCTAATTCTACGTTACATAATGTAAAATGGGGAGTTCTTGCACATTTTCTTTTTGAAAAGATGACAATTTTAGTTTTTCCTGAATTGATAGTTAACTTCCAAGTATTACAGTATTGTTCAAATTCATTTAAAGCTAACTGTAAACCATCTGGTGTTTCTGAAAACAGGACAGTATCATCGGCATATAAGATAATGAATAGTTTGAGATACACTCCAATGTTATCAATACATAATTTGTCTATTGTTTGAAGACAATTTACATTTTTTTCAACAAGATAAGTTTCTAAATCATTTAAATAAATTGCAAACAAAAATGGCGATAAATTTTCGCCCTGTTTTAAACCGATCTCACAATTGAACAAATCCGACTGTTCACATCCATTTTTAACACATGATTTGGTTTTATCATATAGCTTATAAATAATATTGAAAATTTTTCCAGTAATGTTGCTTTTTTGGAGCTTTTTCCACAGACCAACTCTCCATACAGAATCGAACGCCTTACTAAAATCGATGAACGTACAATAAAGTTTTTTTCCTAATGAAAAATATATTGAGATTAAAGAATACAATACAAACATGTTATCGGTTGTAGAATGACCCTTTCTAAACCCAGCTTGTGCACTGCTTATCAGGTCAAATTCGTCAGAAATTTTATTTAAACGATTATTAATAACCGAAGTGAAAACTTTGCCAAGGCACGAGACTAAAGTGATCGCTCTATAATTATCCGGATCTTTTGGATCGCCTTTGTTTTTATATACTGGTTTTATAATACCGATCTTCCACACATCTGGTATAGACGCAGTATTCAGAATAAGGTTAAATATTTTTTGATAAATTGGTAAAAATACATCCATTGTACTTTTTAGATATTCATTTAGGATTTGATCTATACCAGAGGCTTTACTATTCTTCAAATTGATTAAAGAAAATTTAATTTCATCAGTGGTAATTTCACCATTCAGATAATCATCAAAAATACTATTATCAGGATTTTCCAGCTCAAAATCGTCATCATCATAAACAGACTTGTTCAGATCCTTAAAGTATTCATATAATTCAGTAATACATATATCAGCATTACCTTTCTTTACAGATCCGTCACATTTATTCAAAATATTCCAGAATTTTTTTGAATCCATTCTAGCAGTATTTCTTAACTCGCTTGACAATTTCTCCTGATAATTTCTGTAATTTTTATTCAATGTTTTTCTATAAACTTTACTAGCTCTATTGAGATTAGTTTTATTTATAGGATTATTTACTTTGTGAAATAAGGCCTTGGCTTTATTAAATTCAACTCTGTTTAAGTGGCATTCCCTATTAAACCAAGGTTTATTATCACATCTCAACCTCCGTTTCCTGTAAGCATTGTTACTACCAAAAACCTGCTTAGCAGAGCCTTTGAACAATTCACTAATTGAGTTTACAATGTCATTAATTTCGTTATTGGTTACATTGTCGTGTTGTTTATTTAATAATTCATTTAATTTATCATTAATTCTATGGAGATTACCTCTTTCATCATCTAGTATATGTTTTACAAAATCTTGTTCTTTACAGGATTTCCACTTTGTATATCGATTTTCATGACATTCGGTATTATATATACATTCATCAGTTAATTTACAAAGGCTAAATACAAGTCTACAGTGGACATCTGATATGAGTGGGTCAAAAACTTTGATTTCAAAATCTGTTGTATACCGAAACATATCTGACGACAGCAATAGATAATCTATAACGCTGACATCACTACATGTAGTTTTACCTATTTGTGCATCATTTCCAATCCGACCATTGGCAATATACATATTATTTTGCTTGCAGAAGTCAAGCAATTTATTGCCATAATTATTAACTTTAGCTTTACATTGACTAGCCCTTCGCAGAGGAACATTATATAATTTCAACTTTTCAATATCATAGAGATATGAGTATAGCTCATCATTTTCATCTAAGTTTAATGAACGAATGAAGTTATCATCTGGTTCTACAAAATCATCTCTAACTTGGGTTTTAGCATTAAAATCTCCGACTATGGCGACTTTGTTACCATGATGGGATAATTCTATCATCTCCCTTTCAATTTCATTGAACGCTTCCGGGGATGCATACTTAGTATTTTCGGGAGGTATATAAACACATCCCAGTAGAAAATCTAGATCAGAGTTCACAACGTGTTTTGAAAAATTTACCCACAATACATATTCTGATAAAGTTTTAGGAAAAGTCAACATCGACTTGAGAGTTTTCTTAAAAATAATTACTATACCACCAGATTTTTTATATGCATTAGTTCTACATTTCGCAAAATATTCATAGTCAGGCGGTAGTTGTAAATGATCCAGATTATCAATCTTGCTCTCTGCAAAAATAAGTATGTCATGTGCTAGGATTAAGTCTTCAAACTCAGGCAAAAGTATCTTAGACTTAATACCGCAAACATTAAGGAAAGTAAACTTGATAGTGTCTTTATCAATGTCACGAGGTTGACCTCTATTCGCGTCTCCCTACATGGGGCGACTGTCATTGCGGGGGTCTGGCACGTGGTGATGTTTTTTGTTTGTCAGAGCCTCGGGTTAGACTTAATCACCCCGAGGGTTGGATATTTCTCAGTCACACCCTCAAGGTAGGGGGTGATTGTTTTTCTCCCATCCTATAATTTCAGTCACAACTCCACCGACAGTAGTGTAAACAAAAATACATGTGGGGTATGAATATCGTCATTCACTTTTCATGACGTCACAATTACCGGTGACGCATTTTAATGACGTCACAATTGAACACGTGCTTATCGGCACGAGGCTATCTCCCCCTGGGGGTGACAAGCTGATCTTTCCCGGTTAAAACAGGAGACACGCCTGTGAAGGGTGGGAGAAAAGCTGTATCATAATAAGTTAGAATTTAAACTTGAAAAGTCGGTGGTTTTGTTGAACGAAAATCCTGTAAATAACATTTTCTGGCTAATTGCGGTTGATGTCATTGATGAAAAAAAAGCAAAAAGAAGAAGGAACAGTTGAAAGAACTGCGGTCAACACTATTTATATAAAAACATATTTGTCTTATTGGTAAAGATGTGTTGTCACGCGACCCTTGTTCTAAGATTCGTGTCAAAATGGTGTCCATTTAGCCATTCAACACTCGAAAAAAACATTATTTTGCCATTATGTGTATCGAGCCATTTGTCTTCAAACAAATCGGGTGATGTAATTACACCAAGAAGGTAATTATCGCAGTTTGCTTCCAAACAGACGGTTCGTTACCATGACAACGGACGAAGCTACCCGCGAGAAATCGATATCGACAGGAGACAGGTGAGCCATCAGATTGTGATGGATGTGATTTGTGTAGGGAGGTCCTCTTCTGATTAACTGATTAGGTACCACAAAGAACCACACTACTGGCTCACATACATACCCATATGTCTACGATCTTACGTGGTGCTCTTCAACATATGTTCACAATACATGTTGATAAAACGTTCGCACGATTATATACAACTATATGTATATTTCATATAAACAGTTTATGCATCACGATAATATGATTACCACGTATCTGACCAATGTTAGTGTATGTGGCTGTGTAGGTCTAGGAGACACTTTGACCACATACACGAACGATATAATCAATATTTATATCAAAATTACGCAACATTATCACAATCAGTTTTAAGTATTATTTTATGAACATGTTTTTGTTGAAATATTGAACTATTTACGGTATTGAGAGCGGTTAAACAGATCTTCATCAATTATTTATGGCAAACGTCTCGTAAAGATTTGTTTAGCTGGATAAACATGCCATCCCTGTAAACACAATATACACATCCAAACAGCTGGGGAACCACGTTACAGATGATGTTGATTTTATGACAAAAATATCAAATGCTCTTCTTTGAAAACAATGAATTCAATCAAATTTAAGCGGAAATTATCAAAATACCATGAAGTTTTTTTGAGCTTTCATTAAGAACAAACAAACGCACCATTCTTTGTTTCATCGTTACAGTAAATTATAAGAACACAAAACGGTTTATTAGCAATCGGTCTCACCTTTTTCATGGATCTCGCGGTATCATCATGGCTGGGATCACAAGCAAATGATATTATACTAGATCCTGCTGCTTGCATCCGCTTTTCCGGTATATCAAAGAAGCTGGACACTTTGGCCCCTAGTGCTTTCCCGGTCATGGTGAAGAGAATGAAGTAGAAACTGTGTGTTAATTCCTGGAGTCTCTTGTGAAATTATGCATCTGCAAATTGAAAAACATCTCCCTCAGTCAACAGCACTTAGTGTATGGCCATTTACTTATAACGTCCCTGGGTTAATTGAAGAACATTGGACTTGCTTATAAATTGATGGCGACATTAAATTCACATTGATTTACACATAAAATCTACTAATTTAGCACAGTAGCGTAGCGACACTCCGACTGTCCGCGAGGCGATTGATTGTGTCCGAGTGAACAAGTGACTGGCTATCACACTGTAATCAACATGAACACGATGTGTAATAATGGCGAGTACACGTGTTAATTTACGATCTCAGCAATTATCCGTATGTAACCAGTCGCCTCTGACGTATGTTCTGTAGTGTTGACCCAACAGATGGCCTGTCCATTACTGCATTAGTGCGCTGTACTTGGTAATGTGTCAGAGTGAGAGTGGTCTGGGTACTAAAAGGGTATTTCGTGTCAGACATAGGTATACATACATGTATATCACACTGTAGCTGTATACCCTGTTCTTGTGGCATCGCGTTTATAATGCAATGCTGGCATGACTATTTGTTGCTACCTTGAAAACTATTTGAATGATATTGAATTCACAATTTCTTGGACCAACGGGTAGTCATTCGGGAGGTGTAATATTCCAGATAATCACCCAACGGAGGATGTAACATAAGTATGAGTCAGTCGCGCGGGAACTCTACCTCAACTTCTTCACAGCCGCATAAACTTATTGGGAGGGGCAAACTGTTAAGGTCAGTAAAGATATGGCTATCAGTAATATTTGAGTATACATTGTAGTCACGCTATCTATGAAGTCCCGTAAAGCAATGGTCAGTCGATCAAAAGGGATGCCGACCAACATGAAGAGTGATTTGACATTTGACACCTTGCCGTGGCCTTGACCTTGGAGTGCGGACCTCGAGGTCCTACGCGACACACTTACTATAGTTTATCGCACTTAAGTTAGTTTTTCAGTTTTGGCGATTACAGTTTGTTCGAAATATTCAGTGCATTTCACAGTCATTGGCTTGTTTGATCACACTCATACAGTTGTCCCGCGAAAACACAATCAAACCTGGTTGATATCCTTATTTGAAATAAATATATATAAAACGATTAGATAAATAGATAAATATAAATAACAACTGTCACGTCATCCGTTTGAGTCATTCAGAAATCAAAACAAGCATTCGTTAATATTACAATCATCAATGACTTGATCTTTCGGTTTCAGAGAGAACGCGGACTGCGGCCTAGACGTTAACCAACCCAAATATTTCAAATTATGCGCTAAAACTAGTTTCACAAATTACGACCCCTTAGTTTCACAGACCTAATCTCTAATAATTCGTGTTATTTGCAAACATAAAGTCAACAAATGCGTCCTTACTTTTTCTCTCTTTATTTATTTGTTTATACCAAGTAAATGATAGATAAGGATATGACTTTACATACAACGCCATAACTTAGCGTAAGCTTGTTGTCAAATCCTTTTCTATTTATTTCTGTTTTGTAAGCTAGACTACTTAATAAATTATAAAATAATTATTGCTAGACTATTTTTTATAGAATATATGTCCACACAATTCTCCGAATTTCCTTTCATGCGACAAATAAGCCTCAAAAGCTTTAAAGGTTTTCTAGTCTTACTAAGCTTAGGCCTACTGTAAGTACAGTACTGAATGTTACTGTAACGGTGAAGCAGTAGGTAGGCCTAACGACAGCATCTTGGAAAAAGATGTGTTGCTAGGATAGGGCATTGCACTGCCAATCACTCGATCTTTTTCAATATCTCGTGCTGTTTAAAGGCAAGAAGACAATACACTTTTCCGTTTGAACAATGCGGTAGGAGTACTGTAAATACGCAACAAATAATGTATGTGGTAGGCCTACTGACAATACTGTACTGTAGTCCGGAATGTTTTGATCGTGTTTATATGTGACTCTCTCATATGTACATTTCGTTTTCATTCTTTATATAAATGTCGCTTTCGAAAAATTATGCATGTTACAAGCAATGAATCTATACGACATCAAGATGAGTTATTTAGAAAGTCTTCTACTGAGAAGTCTAATATTTGAACCTTACCCGCTTTGCAAACTCCCTTTTTGGCGTCTGCTTCTTGCAGTCTGAATCACAGGAACGTTTGGAACGTCAAAACTAAACACCGGAACGACAGGCACTGACACAATTAGTTCCGGACGCTAAATATAATGACAGATCGACATATTGGTAACGTCTGTTCCAAAAACTGCTTCATATGCTAGAATTCCATTTTTGGCTCTTATCCTCAAATACTACTTGATTAATCAAAAGTGTTTTATATGATATTCATGACTAAATATGATAAATTAAATTACGGAATCGTCTGTTTATTTATTTTTTAATTACATTCAATAACCATAAATAATGATTCAATTACAGTGTTATGTTTGTCATACTTTAGCGAAAGACAGCTCTCCTTTTTTTCTCCCACAAAAAGGTGTCGATTGTCGGAATTCCCCGAAAATATCTGTTGCGTCTGAGCTAATATGAACAGATTAATTTATTCAGTTTTTTTGCTGTTGTGTCTCCCAAACCCTTTTTATATCATCAACATTTCACAGAACATAAGATGACGGCAGCTCCTACATCGTTGTTTTGATATATACATATATATCCAGTAGCTCTACTGAAGATAGGCCTAGGACTACTCTTAAAAATATACTTCATCATTTCATGACAGGGACAAATGAAGGCCTATATAATGTGATAGATTAGCAAAAGCTACGTGGCTTTTTTTCTGACTTTTGAGTCTTTGCCATTTTCATATTACATTTGCAGGCGAAGTGAATGTAAAACTCAGATGGCTCCTATACACGCATATATCCGCCCTAAAACCTACAACAATAATGCTAGTAACAAATCAATCTACAATTGTTATTCGGATTACCTCTAATTGGTGAAAAAAATACACAAAAATACATCCATTCCGGAAACACAACCCGCCTCAGTTGACTTCGTTGTATTACATTACAATTGCTTGTTACATAACGTATGTTTATTAACGAGATGCTAACCAAATCTAACCTTGTATGGAATTTAAACTCGTGAGCTTTTTCCCATCTTTTTGACAGGATATCGATATCCACCTTCAATGTTAGTAAGACGAATATGGGCCTCGCTTGTATTCCCGGTATCAGGGGTAACAACAGTGGCAGACTGATCAGAACTGTGTTCGGTCGGTCCGGCATTACTTATACATGTACTAATAGCCGTTTTAGACTCGTCGATGCTGTTTCATGTGTTGTATTTTTCGTTGGCTTTACAGCTCCGATGCTGAAAACTTTAAAATACTAATAGTAAAATCGGCACCAGGTACTCCATGTAATCACTATTCTGGACTACCCATAAAAAAATAAATTATAGTACACTTGAATTTTGTATGTGCATGCAACTGCTTATTTGCTTACGTGGCAGCTACGCGCCTGTCTTTGTTTATATAACAAGTTCCCACCGTAATACACACATTTGATAATTTCATTCTGGTTAATTGCATGAATGTTACCATACAGGATATAGCTTTACTGTCACAAACATTTGGTGTGTATAGCACTGCCACTGGAAGAACGAATTATGAATATTCCTGTGACGTCATTATAGCTTTTATTCCGTTTTTTAATCTTTAAAAAACTGAAAGTGACTGACATGCACTTATTTATTGAAGGGGATTTAAAAGCGACTTGTTGACACACCTAATGGTTTCAGAGACATTTGATCACGGGGGTAATCCCAATACTCGCTATTTCGCTTACGTCAGAGTGATACTCGCTGTTTTGGATTACGTCGGAGCAAAAAGTCATTTTTGCGCCAAATACGGCTTACGTCAGAGTAAAATTCTCCCACGATTGGAAGAGTGTTCCAGCAAATACAAGATTACGTAAGTATAATGATGTGATATAAGCAACGAAATTGAAACCATGATAACAAAAAAAAACTGTTGAAGGTATAGATACAATCATATACACGTGTCATAGTAGATTTAACACTTTAATTATGAAAATTCTGACGTAATACACAAATCTACGTGCGTTTGACATAAAGATGAACAAGAGGCCCAATGGGCCTGAATCGCTCACCTGGTATTAATCTCACACTTGTAATCTTAAAAGTGGACTAAAATACAGCTACAGGCAGAATATCAGTGTTTGATTCATAAGAACCTATTAAAAGATTTAAACATATGACTCCTGTGACCTTGAATGTCGAACAAGGACATTAGGTTGAACAGAGTTTAAAGTCTTCCAACCCAGCATGCTTTTGGCAAAATATCATAACCCTGGACCTATTGGTTATACAGAACAAGTCATTTAAAGATTTAAACATATATTGACCACTGTGACCTTGAATATGGGCGAAGGTCATTCATTTTGACAAAATTGGTAGCCCTTCATCCCAGCCTGTTAATGACCAAATATCATCATCCTTGACCTTTGGCTAATTTAGAAGAAGTCGTTTAAAGGTTTTTAACATATTTGACCCCTGTGACCTTGAATATATGTAAAGGTCATTCATTTGAACAAACTTGGTATACCTTCATTCCAGCATGCTACTGGCCAAATATCATTATCCTAAGCCTCTTGGTTATTCAGAAGAAATTGTTTAAAGGTTTTAAACATATTTGACCCCTGTGACCTTGAAAATGGACGAAGGTCATTCATTTGAACAAGCCCTTCATCCCAACATGCTTCTAGCTAAAAATCATCACTCTGGGCATTTTGGTTATTCAGAAGAAGTTGTTTAAATTTTTTAACATATTTGACCCCTGTAACCTTGAAAATAGTTGAAGTTCATTTATTTGAACAAACTTGGTAGCCCTTCATCCTAGTTTGCATCTGGCCAAATATCATCACCCTAGGCCTTTTGGTTATTAAGAAGAAGTTGTTTAAAGTAAAATAATGACGCCGGACGCCGGACGACGGACGACAGACGACGGACGGACGACGGACGCTGCACCATGGCATAAGCTCACTTGGCCCTTCGGACCAGGTGAGCTAATAAAACGATTCCCTGTTTCATTGAAATGGAGTAAATAGCTACAATAATAGAACGAATAATACTATTATTATCAAAAATATTAATTTATCACCTGGACATTACATTTGTGCATAAACTGTTATTTAATACTGGTGATACGGATTACGAACATGCTCAATTTTAGTTGATACGGATTGCGTTGTATTAAATCGATTATCAAGCGAGAGTT